TTTTTTTTTTTTTTTTTTAATAAAACATTGGCAAAGTGATGTATCATTTCATGCAAACATTTTTATATAACTATACCGTAAAACACAATATACTAAATAATCATTATCGATGAGATATATTATATATATTATGTAACTATTGGTATATTTCTATGCCTCGTGTATTAATATATTAATGATTGATATTTTATAAATCGATACAAACTGTATATAAGGAATAAAATATGTACCTAATAAAATAAATGAAGAAGCATACATGCTGAAAACTAAAAGCAAAACAAAATTTACAAATAGCTTGACGATATTCGAAAATTATGATCATACGTAAACGTAATATATGTCATATATGGGTCGTACGTTACAATACTTGTGGTCCATAAACTAAGTGAGTTTAAATATGTATTTGGTTTACATGTATGTAATTAGCTATATGTATAGATATGTATGTATAAAACATATTATGTCTACGTTGTACAGGTCTAAAAAAAAAAATTGGGTATATTCAAAGGCTGTTGGGGCTTAGGTTAAGAATGAGGCTGACACTATTATAATATTATGTGGGGCGTTACATGAATAAAGTGTAATGCATTAAATCAGAAACAAACAAAATAGATATAAAACAATCTTCCGATGATTTCGAAAGATACGTAATATTAATAATAGTAATAATAATAATAATAATAATAATAATAATATTAATAATAATAATAATAATAATAATAATAATAATAATAATAACGATAATAATAATTGCAATAATTGCGTGGATACAATCAACAACATAACATGGGCTAATGTTACAAACACTTTTGTTCTTAAACCAATATATTATTATAATATAAGTGTAATGACAAGGCCTAATTTTATAATTAGGTAAACGTATCGTATAGTATACTAATGTTTACCCAAATTAAATCGTGTAGGTTATATGTGTGTAAAACAATCACAAGGCTGAATGTATGTGTTTTAATAATATTATATGTAGTAGTAGGTAGTAGTAATAATAATAACAATAATAGGTAGGTAGGTAGGTAGTTGAATAACAAGCTGCAAGATGATGAAAAAAAAAAGTTTTATGTATTAGTTATATGTATATGAGAAAAAAATACATTACATGTCAAGCACACGACGAAAAGCTGAAAAATAGTACAAAGAATGGTTGCATAACGGAGTTTAGCAAACCATGACTATAGTCAATTATTTAAAAAGCGAATTGCCGTATTTCTGTGGAAAAGTCGGATTATGAAATTGAATAATTGTTCTGTTATTTTTTTTAGGTTTTTTAACGTTACAGATTAATTATTTTTCATAAATATCACATTACAATGATATAAATATTGTGTTTGGCTTGATAACCAATAACGTGTAACAATATATTTTCATAATCGTTACATAAATTTCAAAGTAACCAAATTAAATTAAAATAAATGTTATAAAGTTTCCAACGAATCTCCGTGCGAAACGTTATGATAATGACGAACGCGTAAATAGATATTTCCAAATGTATTATACCAAACACTCATCGTTTAATATCATTGTAGTATTGTTCTCATAAAAGACTCCGAAAATGCGTATTATAAAAATATTATATTAACAGTTTATGAGTGATAAAAATAATATTCAAAACTATCGTCGTCAACATTAAACTGTGTTTAACTTTATCGATTTTAATAAACACAAAATCATAATAATGTATTTTCGATCCATCTGCCATAACGGTTTCATCACGAAACGTGTGAAATCTTTTAGAATTCGTGTTGTCTCTGAATATAAATTATAAACAGTATTGAAATTCTTGAGAACAAACACAATATGTATACAGAAAACAGCAAAACGCCGTTTAATATAATGTGGAAAACTACGGTTACGAGAATTTTAGTCATAATTTGCTTCGATGCGTGACAAGCAAGGTGTGAATAATATATTCGTATCGAGTGAAGTATGTAAAAAAATGTACATATATAAGTATGTAATATGTATCATGTAATAAAATAWGTTGTTAATGACGATGTATAGGTATAAAATGAGGAAAAAACTTACATGTTCAAGCGTGAGCTTGGTGTGTCCAATAACGGTGGTAGGTACTCATATAGTCACATAGTAGGTATATACATAAAAAAAGTATATAAAACACACAAACATACACACACACATATTATATGTATATAATATAATATATATTAGACTTTAGGATCACTTAATAATTAATTTCTTTTGTTTTAAATAGATTTTATATATGTATGTGTATTCTGTACATAGAAATATACAATATAATATGTATATTGTATACAGAGTGATTCATAAATTATAACAGTTAATACTTATTATCTCATAAATGATTTACTTGTTTTAATAATTTTTCTGAGTGAGAAATTTTAACTAGATTCTTGTTGTTTTAGACATTTTTGTTATAGGTACTCGGTATTTTTTTCATTTTTGAACGATGATGACATACGTTTTGTAATTTCCATATTTCATATCCAAAGCAGAATTTTACTCTGGATAATACCGCTATTTATACTATTTAACATACAAAATATTAATGCCTAACCAGTTAAGTATATGTTTAAATAATTTGAATTAATTAACTAAGAATCATAAAATATTTGCATAATATTTAAGAAAATATGTAAGGAAACAATATAAATTATAATTTGCATATATTCAAAATTAATATCAAAAATATTTTTTAAAGTATAATAAAAGATTTAAACACGTTTAGAGATGATAAGTATTTTAGTATTTATGGTTAAAAAGTAAATCACCTTATCTATAATGCATAAAATAAATAGTTTAATATATACATATTTGTGTATTTTTATTTGCGAGGCTAGATGACCACTTGTCCTCTTGAGAGTTACTGACCGTCCAGTAATCCGTTCACATAGCACACTCGTGTTTCTTGTAGCTATATTTTTTACTGCAGCAATTCAATCACTTAATACATTTTAGTTATAATATAATAATATAGTTGAAAAATCTCTTTTACTACATTTTTCTTTTGATTAATATTTTATTCTTTTCTTTTTATTGTAAGTATATATGTATATTATTATTATTATATTTATATTTTGTCATGTAAGTGCATTCAGATTTGAATTTGATCTTTTGAAATATTATTGAACTTTGTTTTTTTTATAGGTTAAAAAATGAATT